GTTGTTGTTCAATAATAAAATTAATCCTCAAAAATACAACTTGCCTAATAATTCTGCACTCCCTGTACAGTTATATAGTAAATACCACAACAGTTTAATAGAGGTGTAAAAGTCCCTTTTAATTTTAAATAAATCTGACTCCAGAAATTTTTGACACCTTTATAGGTATCAAAAAATTATTGTTCTCTTTCTTTAAAACGTCTTAGTGTATTGCATCCTTATAATCATTAACCTAAATAGTTATTTCATTCCCTTCTCTCACTTATTCCTCTCCACCTGTCACTCACTTCCTTTTTCTTTAATATCCCTCCTTTCCCTTTTTAATTACCTGTCTTTCTTCTTCATTCTTTTCTCATTTAGATTATTTGCTTTAATTTATATTGCCAACTTGTCTGGTGAATCAAGATTTTCTCCTGAGACTTTGAGACTCATTGGAAAACCCATCTGTATTTTATGTTGTTTTGCACAAAGACAATTCTGTCTTAACCTTTTCGCCATCTTTTCATAACATATGACAAGTCCATGAACACTGGATCTATTTATGCAAATTTCAGAGTTATTTTTCCTGTGCTTTCTGATGTGATGGGAGGAGCTAACCCATAAGTGAATGCTGCCATGTTTTGTCAGTAAATATATATTTAAAGGGTTATTCACTAAAGTGAGAATTAAAAGTGAATTACAAGTGAATATCAAGGGAATGTTAAATTTAAGTCCAAATAGCCAAACTAGAAGCATAGCTGAATTAGTGATTTTTTTCCAGTTTGGCTATTTTAGCCTTTAATTTGAAATTCACCTTAAATTCTCTTGAATTCTCACGTTAGTGAATAACAAGCCATTAATCATCTTTTCCCCATGAATCATTTTTTTTTATTTTGGCACTGCAGGTGAACTTACAAATCACAAATCAAAATTAACATGCTCGTCCATTGTGCAATGTGTTTGGTTTGTGATTTGTATCATCACTGATCAATGATGGAAGAAAAAACGTTCATAATGAACCAAATATCCAACTCTCTCGAATTCCATTTCAAAAATGTTTTTGTAATGTGTATGGTAGGTCTACAACTGAATCAAGCCTATTTCACACAATAAACCAAGTGAAATAACTGTGTTTATGCAACATAGTCACACCTTCCCAGACTGTACTTCATCATGGTCTCCCTACACACATTTTTAAAAGAGTCTAATTTTTTTAGGTACATTGTGTAAAGAGAAGGGTATGATGATTAACTGTATCAAATGCAGCAGATATATCAACAAGAATGAGTATAGGAGACTACTTAGAAAGCTTGGGAAAGGAAATTATGAACAGCAAGATGTTGCATGCCTTTAAATAAATGTCTATTATAGTATGTTTGTAATACTCATACTCAAGAATTAATGGAACAGGGCAGAGGATTCTCCTTGTGCTGCCTATAACTAATGTTTAAATATTTAAAAGAACATTATAGTGTTAGGAATACATATGTGCATTACTATTGCCCTACTGTCCTAGCCATCGTTAAAATCCTCTCCACCTGCAAGGGTTAAAAAGGTTATCTACTTACATTGTATCCAACATTAAATGCTGATTTCTCCACTGCCATCCCCACATCCTTGGCAGAGATCATCACTCTTGATGATATCAGCAAATCCAATGCTTTCCTATAAGAAATAATTGAGAGGCTAGAGCTCCTGTTGTGTCAAAAACACTCATTCCCCAATGATTCTGTGGGGCAGAAGGAGGATTCTGTTGTCCCTTCCTCTTGCCAGCCTCCTCTCCCTGTCTCCCCTCAGTTCATATACTAAGTGCTTCCTGTCTCCATGACGACGTGACCTGGCCAGTCCTGTGACACAGGCCATGTCTGTCATCCCCACCATAAGGCCAACCCTCCCTTACCCCTGCACTACAAGACTGTGTAGGGATGATCTCCATGGCAACGCGACCCCAGGCGATCATGTGGTTTGGGTCGTGGCCGACATTTAGTTTTTTTGATAAAGAGAGAAAAATAAATAATAAAAAAAATAATAAAATTCTTTTTTTTTCTTTTTCTTTTTCACTTAGAAATGCTTGTTTTCAGCAGGGAGACATCTCTTCCATCTCCTCATCCCCTATACTAGGGATTTAGGCACTCCATCCACACTTTTAATATAGGTATAATTAAGTTAGCAGCAGCCATGTTGGTGTCCCCAATTAACATAATTTGGCAGCCATCTTGGTGTACTTCTTAAAACCACCACATCCTCTTCTTTTATCTTCCCCAACTTTAAGATTTATGTTTATCCATTTGATAATGTATACCTATTTCATGTCCCCCTCCCATCTGCACTGTATTATTGCTTGTTTTAATACGTTTTAATATGTGTTCTGTATCACATGATTGATGATGTCACTAACTGTAATGGTGTAATCAATTGTATCTGCGATTTAAACAGGATAGGCCTCTGATGCTGTAACACTTTGATAAACACTTTGATATAACTTTGCAGAAGAAACGCATTAGTGTTTTATGTTACTGATTTTTTTTTTGTCTCCAATAAAGATAGCCCATTAATGCCATTGGAGCCTTCAAGCCTATCCTTTTATTCTATTTTATTTTATTTATTTATTTTAAATATAATTCCTTTCAACTCTCTCGAACACCGCCACTAGAGGACTCGAGGAGTGATATCCTTGGTGGGGATCATACCACCTACGCCTACATATATTGAGCAATATCCCATTTGCTCTTCACTTGTGAGTATACCTCCATCTTTTACCATTTTATTTTGTATCTTCCAGAGAGCACTATTTTGTTTTTATCCTCTTTTTTATATATCACCAACTATTCAAATACCGGCCCACTGCTTTTGGAAAGAAGATATACCCTACTACCTCTGGAGCCCCCCTTTTGAGAAAATCCAAGGACCATCTACATATCCATAGACAGGGATTTTACCATCCAGGTGCACATATCTGGAGCTGAGTATAAGCTTCAGAAAATTGTAAGTGAAATTCCTTTCCCTTCATTTACTATCACTTAAGATCCTAAAATACTACATTATATCTGTGTCTTTTTCCTTCCCGCCTCCAAATCACTCTGAGCGTGGGAATTCCATTACAGGTGCTGCTCCCTGATCCTACTATGGTTTGGGTCGTGGCTGACATTTAGTTTTTTTGATAAAGAGAGAAAAATAAATAAATAAAAAATAAAAAAAATTATAAAATTGTTCTCCATGAGACCATGTAACTGAAGTAGCTGAATTTAACCTGGCTATTTCTGAAGAAGCACCTCTAGTGGCTCTCTGTTTGACAGCCACAAGAGGTATTTAAGCCCTGCATTCTAAACCTTGCTGTTCCTGCAGAAAGACAATGTTTTATATTGCAGGGTTAAAATGAGAGGGACGTGGACACCAGACCACTTCGTTGAGATCTAATAATCTGGATGCCTATAGTGTTCCTTTATGTTTAGTAATTGAAGGTAAACTTTACTGCTTATATTTGTGAATTAATGTAAAATAACATTTCACATGGGCATAACCTATATGTTAGTTTAATTTTATTCCTCCACTAAATATATTTCTCTGTCTCTCTTCCTGCTTTGGGCAGATGTTTAAAACTGGCATCATATTGAATGATATGCCAGATTGCAGAATTTACTCTGCCAAATGAATATGGTATTCTGCATATCTGAATAAAGAGGTCTTTGCTATTCATTTCACATCTCTTTCAACATATGCAAATTAGTTGAATTATATTTAATCAAGCTTGTCAAGTTGCAATCACTTGATAGCTATTCTGTGCCAACATGCACTGATTAGCCTCAGTGCATGTAACTTCATTTTCTTCTTCCTTACTAATGCACTCTTGGTCTCAGAGAAAGATATGGATTGAATGTATTTAAAAACAAAAGCAAAAATGAAACAACAGTTTTTACAACTCACAAAGGACTATTTACTAAGCTTCTTTTTGAGGATTATTTTTTAGATAATTTTATTGTATCTTATTTTTTAAAGTTCATTTGCATTGCTACATGTTTATTTTATTTTAGACATCTTATTCATTTCACATTGATTGATTATGGTGGATTTGGTAATTATGAAAATATAATACCACATTAGTAAATTTGATTTATTGGTAAAGGTTTGGAAAGACCCTCCATAATTATAAGGTATTAGGGAGAGTGGGAAGGTTTTACACCTGGCATATGTTTGTGAGGGTTATGGGTGATGTACATTGCTCTGTCACTGTACCAGGTGAACTGGAAATCTCTCTGGCAATCTACTTCATTGAGTGTCACATTGGTGGAACATTAAAGCAGAGGTCATGGACACAACAGTGGAGGGTAGCAAGGGAGCTCTTATCTTCATGCTCTGGCAGCAAAGTTCCCTCATGCTACTGTGATGTCATTTGGCATGGATATGACATCACTATGACCCCAAAATAAGAAATAAGAACAGCACCTTTCAACCCCACAAATGTGCAAGCAATCTGGTTCCGCCCAAACCAGTTTATATTCAGAACAGTATAAAAATAAATTCCAGCACATTTTGATTTTTTTGATAAAGACCATTGCAGCAGTTGAAACGTTGCTGTTTTACACTTTGGGCATCTGAATAAAGGGACACTACTTAAAAAAAGTATGTGCCAGAATTTATTTTTATCACTCCGACTCTTGCATCGCTAAAGGACATATTTGGGAGACTGAAAATGCAACTTATAATAACTTCTCCAGTCTCAATATTATTTTTTTATATATATATATATACAATATTTTGTTCAATCTGTCTGAAAGATCAAGGCTTCCTATACGAGTTTAAGAAAATGGGCAGACACAGTTTTCAAAAGAAAAAGCTTTATTCTATTTGAACGACAAAATTTTTTTTTATACATGTTCTATATTTACATAGTGTTTGGTTATAGTAAACTTCTTGTACACATGGCAGTCATTTTTCCTTTATATGCTGAAATGGATTAAATATATATTTATATATTTATACATATATATATGCTTTGCTAAATAACTTGCATGCCAAAATGTATCATCATTGTTATTTACACATCTATGTAATTGTATTTTACATAAGAGTTCTTCAACCCATTAGAGCCAGTTTGTGACTTTCAAAGTTATGCTATTTGCAGTTTATAAACTGTCACTCTTGGCTATGAGGGCAATAAGGCTCTGAAGGAATTAAGGGGATAGATGTCTGTGCTGATGGAAATCAATCACAACCTCATTTGCTCATTGACTTAAAACAAAAATATACACAGAGAAGTGAAATAATAAATAACTGCATGAACATTATTACTCATGTATTGCATGTACGTCCTATATGTTTATTATACTACAAGTTCCATATTATTGGTATCAATGAGATGTAAGCAAATAAATGTTACATTATGCATACTTTAATATGAAAACTAATCGATCAACTCTCTAAGAGTTAATGATAAATTAGCAGCATGCTGGCTTATCGTGCACTATTCTATTGATTAGTTAGCAGTTTTTTATTTGCTACCAAAATTAAATACTTTTTTTACAGGTTATTTTATAATAAATTTAATAAGAAGGCTAGTACATATCCTTAGCAATGTTTAGTAAACATAATCCAATTTAATACAGAATTGGTTATATATTTTTCAAAGGTAATAGTTAACAGCCAAAATTTAGGAGAGATGTCCCACCAAGACTCAATCAACAATATCCATCCATTTGATCACAAAATGGATGCTTGATTAAAAAAATATTAAAAAATATTTATATGATAATTACAAACATATGTATAGTAAAATTACAAAAAGTCACACAGGGACAAAATTGGAGCTTATGCTCATCATACCTATGATGTTTTTTTGTTTTTTTATGAATCCTTTCATTCAGTCATTGAACATTATGTCTTCTGCAGTATTAAACACATAGCTTATTTGACAACGGTAATCCAACATTAATTTTTAGGCATCCCTAGATCTAATATTGCAATGACATTTACCCTATAGGCAACCAAGGAAGACATTGTACTGTATTTTTTTTGTCCAATCCAATGGTCTCATTGAATAAAATAACCAGGAAGAAGAGAATGCTGTGCAAACATGTTCTAACTTCGTTATATGCAAGTGAAAAGTTGAAGGGCATATTTACGGAAATACAAAGGAAGGAACAAATAAAACACTTTGTTAATACATTATTTAAAGTTCACCATAACAGTAGAGCATCTAAATAATACAGTAAAATGAATAAAATATAGATTTGAATAGATATACTATAAATACAGATACAATTTACATAAATGGTAGTTATAGAGACAAGCATTCCTTAAGTTTACTTTTTGGAGGAGGAAGGATTTTCCTCTTTTATTATGTTATTATTTATTTTTTAAGCACTTCTGCTACGAAAGCACATAGTTAGAATACTTAATGGCAAATAGTTATTTCGATATTTCATCTAAATGTAACCAGCAATAATTATATCTCCTGTAAAATAATACGCTACTGCTATTCTGAGTCTTGCTTACAAGAAAATTAATTGTAGTGAGTTGATAATGCATTTAATAATAAGATTATGACAAAAATAACTTAGAAAAATATCTCAGCAATCACAATCTATAAGTTTTTTTTCATCCAACTCGATTATTTTGCAGCTCTCCATATCCCTATTTCATGAAGAATTTTGAAAGGTTTTTAATTAAAGTGTCTTGAAACGATTGGAATAATATCATCAGCTTATATATGTATATTATGTGAATAGATAATTTGATACATGGTCAACATATTACTTGTGGAATGAAGCAGATTTCTAAATCCTTTTGGATATGTTATAATAAATAAATCCTTGTCATTTTGTCGTACTTTAAAATAAATTATTGCTGAGATAGTGTGCAATTTGAATACAAAATAATCTTGAATTTGTATGTTACCTTAATCATGTACAGGCAATTAAAAATAAAGATTGGTAGATTATACTGCAAATTCAGATTGCCTTAATTTTAATTTGTGTTTTACAATTTGCACTTTAACTGTTTCTTCTTTACTACATTTTCTGTTTAACTCATACAGAATAATGTTAATTTGTCAGGCTTCCCACAAATATATTTCATCATGGCAAAAACAAATACTACATCAAGTTTTAATTTTTTTTTAAATCAATTTAAAAAAACTCACTTTATACAGATATACAGCTAAACAATTAAATAAAGCACAAATGTTAATCCCAAATGCCCCCTTAAATGGACGAGTAGAGAGAAAAATTACATTATTTTCTTGTTTCTTTGTACATTCTTCTAGATCCACCAATCTGTTTCTTGTTAATACATTATCAAATATGAGCACTGTAAAATAAATCCAATCAAATTAAAAAAAGTACAGGAGAAATTATAAAATAAATATTATGAAATGTGCTACTTTATAGATAGGAAGTACACAGACAATGTTAGTTTGTTGCAAGTGTAAAATGATTAGTAGGACAGGAATTATGCATAATAGAGATCAAGCTGTATCGGTGAAAAAATCTCCTAATACTATCCTTACCTTTTGTGTCACCCCTTTCCCTCTATAATGTAAGCTCATTGAGCAGGGCCCTCAACCCCTCTGTTCCTGTGTGTCCATTTGTCTGGCTACAACTACATGTTTGTTTGTCCACCCATTGTACAACGCTACAGAATTTGTTGGTGCTATGTAAAAAATAACATAATAATAATAATAATCAGAATAGTGATTTCCATTTTTTGATGGAACTTTAGTCTCAAGTTTTCATATATCGTGATGTGTGATTATCTGTAACGCTATAAGACCATGACTATCCAATAACTATAAAAAAATATGGTGGGCTGGCATTTTTTATGAGAAACGCACAACCATAATTTTATTTTAGTGCTATATAATTCTTTTTTTAAAATTGTAATACGTTCAAAAGATTGTCAATAAATATCAAAATAAATATTGAACACATGTGTCTATAATTAAGGATTAGCCGTTAAGCAAAGAAGACTGTGAGCAAATACAGCTTTCGATTTGTTGCTGAAATATGTCAACTTCACCCTTGTCTTTTGTGTCTCTATGTGTTTGAATATTAAAATGCAGTTCAAAAATAGCCACCGAAACACTGAAAACTCATACATCTTCAAGTGTTAAACTTGTTATAGCCGTGGTTCATGCATATAACATGGATACATTTGCAGCACTATTTTAAACTGATTCAAAGAGAGAACATTTCAGGTGACAGTGGCTTTTAAGAAAATATATTACTTTTTTGTTTGTATTACTTGTTTTTTTTTTCCTAGTCCGTAGAGTGAATATATGTGAATATAGTTTATTATGCTATAGTCATTGGACAAATGTTTCTGTTTCCAATCAACAAATAAAATGCATGTTACATTTCTGGCATGGGAATAATTTTAATTCAACTTCAAATGAATTATTCCAGTGCATATTGAATTGGATATAGTCATGTGAAAATGCATGTGCAGTAGAGTCTTTCTTTATTCCTCTGCATTTTTTTTTTACTTATATCAATTATAGTATTAATACATTAAAATGTGTTTTGTTCCTGAGTTGTCTTTATCTCTGGAGAACTCCTGCATGTTTTTTGTTTTTGTTTTTTTACCACTATTTGCACTAATGTGCCATCTGATGATCTAGCACTCGATATAGTCAGGATCTATACAATAACACAAAATAAAAATGGATGTTTTTTATTTACGTATTGGTTAATCGAAAATGCCTTGTTTGATTTTAGTGTACTTAAAATACTGGCGATGAAGGCTAAACACTTTGGAGTATTCATAGCTATCCCGTGGAGTTGCAACCTCATTCTGCTGAAACCTACTTTATAACTTTACTAACTATTATAACAAGAATAACAAAATTTGAATTTGCCATTTATGAGCCTTTCATAGAAACTCCTTGTCCCCGATAAACACAGAAAATTGATTATGAACCAAAATATAATTTCATAATTTGTTTTAAAGTAGGTAAAATATATAGTCTCATAAGTACAGGACTCCTGAGAGTGAAACTGTCATGGCAAGTTCTTTATAAGTACATTTAATGTGAAGTAAGTGGCATCAGTTGTTTTTATTACTACAATCCTCCAGGAACGTGTGAGACTCCTGTAGTCTTGTGTGCATTAGGGATTATTGCATCATGTACAGTGCATTGTTGTTCTTATGAAGGAGAGCAAGACAATTGCCTAGATAATGTGTCTCTTCCTTACTTGTCAATTACTTCTTTGCATGCACTACTATAGCATTAATATAGCAGTGCATGGTGAGAATTGATTGACAAATGGGAAGATAACATTATTTAGATTAACATGACCGTCTTTGATCGATGTTTAACTTGCTGCGATACACCAATACTTCTTATGTTTCATTTTTATTTCTTCTTTTTTAAATTAAAGACATTAGTTTGTACTTGCTTCAATTACTATTGCACTGTTTTTTTACCTTATTTATGCTCTCTTCAAAAATGGCTACCCTTGTTCTGCATGCAAATTGCTGTATAATCATGATACATTGCTATTTAAATATGCTTCTTCATTTTAGTCTTCTCCACAAATGCTTTAAATTTTTAGTTTTATGCCATTTTAGGCATATTTTAGCATTTTTACACATCTTGCCTTCTTAGTATACTCAAATATAGTCATGTGACGTGTTGTTTCAATCAACATTACGAGAACTCACTTTTACTTTTATTGCTACCCCTTAAATGGTTCCTTTAATTCATGGTTATTTTGCTTTGTTTTATCTAGGTATCCACTTTTATTCAAGTTTATATAAAATTGTATTTTGTATACGTATTGCAGTCCAACATGGTCACATGATCATGACATTAACTGCAAATATTTAATTTAGCACCCCTTATATAAATTTATGTTCCATACATTACTGTAATTCAATTGAAAAAGCTTCTGATCTAGGCGAAAAGATTTGTGGGTTGTTGTTATCTATTACTTTCTGTTTCAAAAATAAAGCAGCTTTGGTTTTAATCCATACTTGATATGCCATAGGTATTTTTATTGTTATTTTATTTCTTTTAAAATCATTCCCCCTGGCACTCCTAATTGGAGCACTTTCCTGTGAAACCTGGATACCTAATCCTTGGTGAGGATGAAACCAACTACATTGGAAACTAATTGCTCTGCTAAATGGGAGTATGGTTTCAATATTTTTGTTACAGTTAGCACTATATTTTGTTTCTTCTTTTTTCTCTCTCCCTGTTTTCACCTACACTACCAAAGAAACAGTGACTAAGAGATATCCCTTAGGTGGAAATTGTGCCGCCATATGCCTGATACTTTGAGATCAGTATGAAGTTCCTACATTGTGAGTTTAGTTCTTTTTATTTTAAGATTACATCTCTATACTAATCACAATACACTGTTAGATTATCCTTTTGTCATTACATTACATTACACAGAGAACAACCAACAACCACACCTATGGCACCTAAATCCATTGGTGAAATTATACCACTATATGCTAATGAAACTGGAGCTAGTATGGAGCTCGACACCATGTGAGTGGGGAACCTGATTGTTGAGTGTCTCTACTTACAAAAAAGAGCTAAACTGTTCATTAATGGTTTAACTTTTGAGGGTAAACTGGTGCCAGGGATCTCCTGTCATTATAACAAATTAATTACAACAAAGTTGTTATGATGCCCAAAGTGTTGCTTTAAAGGTGATGTACCGTTAGGAGAGACTTGTGGCTCGGTTTATAGTTAGTAGTTATTATGAAGCTGGTATGGTGCCCAGAGTGTTTCTTTAACTCTAAACCTCCCAAAACAATAAATCTAAATCTGGCTGCTACATTTAAAATTGATTTCTTGGAAAAGATGAATTAATAAAGTTGCACAATGTGACACATAATGTGAAATGCACAATTTTGATGGAAACATTTTGATTGCATATATTATATAAAAATTACAATTAGATTTGTTTTGGCAACATTTGGGTGGATTGACATAGTGACAGTTGCCTGTGAAATGGACATCTGTTATGACTAAATTCCTTTTTATTATATGAGCTATTCTTATGTTGAAATACCTTTACCTATGTGGTTTAGTATCTCATTCCTGTTTGGTAACTTGTATAGTTCTATTATGTATTTGTTCTAAGGTAAAGTTTATATCAATTAATTTAAATGAATACTCACTTTGAAAAAGAGTGCAAAGTATATTTTTAGACAAAGGTGGGCAATCATTTTTTACTTTTAGTTAGCTCACATTCCCAATGCATTTGTGAATTATTATTTTTTAAATTTGCATTACAGAAGATTCTACCTCAAATTTTCTGCACTTAATGATGCATACATTTACCTCAGAAAGTGAACTTATCTTAAGCTCTCTTTAGATTAATCAAGGATACATTGATAGCACAGCTGAGAAAATTTTAATATAAGAAAGTTAAAGAAAAGTGAAATAAGGAAAATATAGTGTATTACTTGATTTGCTAGCAGAGAGCAGATTTATCAATAAAATGGCATGCAGAGTATATTATTATCAATATGTACGCACCACTAGGCATAATAGCAGCGTAAATACATTCAGTTATTGCATAAGTCCCTCCGGTAAGAGGATATTACAGGTAAGAATACAGATATTATTTAGATATTTCATAGGAATAAAAACACTAATCATTTATACAGGATATTTCTCCAGGCAATTGACCGTTTCATTACATATAATTATATCAACGTAAGTTATTTCACCTTTTTCTAAAAACATGATTGTAAAAATTATTATATAGTACTCACTGCTTGGAATTGAAAATATTTGCCAGGTGTCTAGCCAGTAAATACAGCTATTCATATAAGAAATGATATGGGCAGCAATGCATGATACTGAATATAGCCTGGGGCAATAAGTCAATTTAGAAACACTTAGTTAAGCACTCTAAAGAATTCATCATGTACAACAATCCCTTCAAATTCAATGTACAATGACTTTAACTTTGAAAATCTAAAGAAAAACATTAAAAAAAAAAAATTAACTTTCTGAACTAAAGTTTTCAAGCTTTTTATTTCCTCAAGCAATAATTACAGGAATGTGACACAATCTATCATTCAGTCAATATGTCTGTCTGCCTAATACTGCTCACTGTAAACAGAGCCTATGGGGATAAAACTGGATATTGTGTATGGCAGTTAAGTGAATATTGCAACTATACTTACTGGAGGTGGGATGGTCTTGGAGGGAGGGTCTGCTGCTGATTGGCTGGAATGTGTCTGCTGACTGTGAGGTACAGGGTCAAAGTTTACTCAATGATGACGAATAGGAGGCGGACCGAACAGCGCATATGTTCGCCATCCATGGCGAACCGTTCGGCAAACCATTCGGGACATCACTAATTATAATGATTATTATCCCATTAAACCCTTGACTATAAAAAAACATTGTTTTATTTACATTTGATTTGCAAAATGAAATTTAGTCCATAAATTCTCACCTACCTACTTCTATACACATTTAATGATTAACAGCTTGAAGAGAAATGCATTTATATGCCAGGAACCTATTCCAGCCATTTAAAGTTTGCAAATGGGCTGAGAATTACAGCTCCCTCTTTAAAAACAGTTGAAAAAGCATCAAAGAGCATATCATTCTTACCATCAGGTTAGAGAATGGAAGGAGTAAAAGAACGCTCCCCTTTGATTCTTCGTATTACGGAGATTGGTGCAGATTGCTAAGGCGTGATTTATACAATTATTTTATAATTAAAGATATACTATAGTGCTAGGCAAACAAAGTTGTATTACTAGCACTAAAGCTCCTCCCCCTCCCTCTCGTACCATAAAAACAACCTTTACTGTATTCACCCAGTTCCAGTGCCGATATTCATCGGTGCAGGACCGGCGCTCTGCCTCTGCCAACATTACCAGATGGGATGGGGTTCGTGCGCAGCCACTATTTTTGGATTTTATTCATAATTTTCCTTGAGGGCTGGAGTCACATTCTTTGTCTCAATATCTCAATATAAAGTTTTCAATAATTTGCTCATGTCTTTCTTCCTCCGGTGAAGCACATCACAAAAGAAATAAATGCCAACTGAGATCAAGGATTTATTTAAAATTCTAAAATTTGATTTAAATGTCCTTTTTTCAGACAAAATTTACTAAGGAATTAATCTAAAAGTGAATACATCGTTAATGTCCATGACTCTTCTCACTGTCTACATGCACAAAATGAGATTTCAGATTGGGGAATAGATTAATCGTAATATTTCTGCTATTTCAAACAATGAAAAACATCTGCCATGTTTGTAGATGCAGCAAACATTATTAAAAACTGATCAATGGTTGAATTGATTTCACAACAGGTTGCATAGAAAGACTTATGGTCAATAGCTAGAGCATTTCCTTTTAGCACAGTGTCAACGTGTGATGAAAGTATGCAATATTTTTCAAAGTTAATGTGGTTTGCTTTCCTTGTTTGGAAAGACAAACCCACTTAGGCAGTTGACTACTTAAAAACCAACTCTGATAGAAGGTAGGTGCGATGTAAATGCCAACAACAATAGCTTGGATTTGGTCTCACACACATCAAACAAATTGACTTTATTGAATTAGCTCTCAGTTATATCTACTATGACTACTACTTGAAAAAGGTGCATTACAGTATGCACAGTAGGCGGAACTACCAGGGTTGCAAAGGTTGCTATTGCGACCGGGCCCTAGGTTCCAGCTTTTGGAGGGATGAGGTGCTTCTTTTACATATAATGAAGATTTGATGAGGATTCCTGGATTCTCAACATTTCTCTCTGTGAAACGGTAATAAAACAGATATTAAATCTGTCATTAAGCTTTCCACCCCCTGCACTGTAACCTCTGAAACCTTGTTATTATTCCTTTATTTCTTATCCTTTATCTATTTTTGCCAGTTATGCTTCTTTCACTTTTATCTTTACCATGGCAGGTTTTAAGCTTTGTCTAGGGTTTATTCACTAAACACACAATTGTTATGCACTGCAAACCAAATTGAACAATGGATGCTGCTTTAGAAAAATTTAATACCACTATAATCACAGCTTAATTATTTGAGCCTAATTTATGCAATCACAAATGGTTTTCAAGTCACTACAGGTCACATATCAGTAAATACATTATCTAGCCTCGCAGCAAATACCCTGCTTTCAGAACTTTTTTAACCCTCCTTGCACCTGTATGCACTTCCTGCTTACTCGATGACCAACTCCCACTTGTTTTGAAAATCTCTCTCTACAGTGGTGGAACTACTACGGTCGCAAGGGTTGCAGCTGGGACCAGGCCCGTCACTCCAGGCGGCCCGGCTGCCCTGCTGACCCGAGCAAATATGAGCCGCCGAAGGGGGGGCGCTGAGAATATCCTTCTCAAAGGGGGCCCAGGAGGTGTCCATCTGCCAACCGTAGGGCACTCCCAAATCGGTTCCTAAGCAGCGAGGCAGAGTAGGCACCTGCTTACCTGGATGGCAGGTGCCTACTCTGCTGATATATACTGCACAGAGGTGGGAGGAGAAGTGGCAGGTGGTGGCAGTGTGGGCAGTGAGGAAGTCTGATCTGACAGTTCCTCTCTCCTCCCACACGCGCCCTCTGTGATGCCGGGAGCCAGGATATGATGTCTTTTAGGCCCTGGCATACTAAACAGCGTGAAAGGAGAGAGAAAATGCCAGATTACAGCACAGCCCCACACTGGATCCCAGGGAGAGGACCCACACCAGCTCTACAAAAGGTAGGGAGGCTGGGTGGGCCTCAAAAAATGTGAGAGTGTGCAAGAGTGTGTGTGTGTTTGTGTCTGTCTGACAGTGTGAGCGTGTGTGTATGTCTGTGTGTGTGTTTCTGTCAGTGTGAATGTGTGTCTGTCAGTGAGTGTGAATGTGTGTCTGTCAGTGCATGTGTGTCTGTCTGTAAATTAAGTAAAAATATAATGCATGTATGTTCAAGATGGCAAGTGACTTCTAGGCCATGCAAACATATTACAATCAGTCATCCCCTGTACAATCACACACAGCCACCAAACACCACTAAGGTTTACTGCTTAGGATGGAGAGAGGAGTGGAACAATTCTTTGTATCCTGCCCCCGTGGGGGCCAGTCGTTCCTAGTTACACCTCTAACCACACAGCTACACATTGTCAGTGGTAGTAGAAGGCAGCTGTATTGTACACATGCCTTTGTAATTGAAAACACTGGGAAAGCACATCACTTAGAGCAGAATTTTAAATGTTTAATAAAAAAGTAAATATATATTAGAGTATATTTCATTGGTTTGCTTATTTACCAGCATTTGGCCTTATATACTTTAAACAGTGTAAAATTATAATGATGAGTTGGATCCATGCAAAAATATAAATCCACAATTAAAATTAATAAATGTCAACATTTTGGCATCTGTTTTTTTTGACAGATTTGTATGTCATACTGCACAATGTGTGAAGCACATTAGGAATGATAGCAGGACATGATGATACGACAAGCTGGAACACGATCGCTTGTTAGATCAAGTCTTGATGAATTTTTATTTTATATTCTATTCCATACATGAGGAAAAAATTATATATATATATATAAAACAATACAAGCTTTTTTTATGTAAGATTTTTCCGAATAATATTTGCCAAATAGTGATGATGCCAGCCTTTCCTTTTTGATCACTTAGAAAAAAAAGCAGTAACAATTTCAATAAAAAAAAAAAATAGGCTTCTATAGAAATTAAATATTCCACTATAAGAAGATAAAATCAAATATCTTACTTTTGAGAAAGCATATGTTTAGGTGAAATGCGTTGTGTTCTATATATATTGCTTTATCTATATTCTATCTTGTTATTTGTTTTTTATTATTTTTTAACATTAAAGTACTTTTTTATTGGACCTGCTTTTGCTGCTGCTGGATCTTTGGGCTACATCCTTGGTGGGGATAATACCACTTAAGCATATTGGATTGAGCAAATCGAACTTTGCTCTTAAGCATGTGAGTAGGTTTTTTATCTTTTTATTGTGTTTTACACTCCATATTTACAGTGTACACTATTGTGTTTTTTTTTTCCATATATATATATATATATATATATATATATACTCATGGAGAAAGTTTGTCTACACCCATATCCTTGAGTGGGGATCATACCACTTTACACGCTCATTTGGAGCCATACTTACAGCTCCAACATGTGAGTGTGAGTGTAAATTTTTATATTTATACCTACCCTTTCTCCATAGTCCTAATATACTACACTATATACGATTTTTATCTATTTTATTTCTATGAGGATACCTCCTACAACTACGAACAAAAGAAGAATCAGCATTGCACTTTATCCTTAGGCGAGGATTGTTACGCCCAGGTGCATAAGTTGGAGCTCTATTGAAGCTCCAAAAAGTGTGAGTGCACATTTTTTATCATATATACATACACAAACTTATGTTTTACATACTATAATATTAGTTTCTTCTGTTTTTTTCTTCTTGACGAAAAAACAAGTGAGTATAAGTGCTTGATATCTATAATTGGAAGCAAATCACCAACAAGGGGTTCTCTCCACCTTTGTGAAATGGGTAGTGAAAAATAAAAACAAGAGGTAAAAAAAATATATATATACATATGATACAGGTGTTGATCTTAGTACATGAATTTTTAAGTACAGAGTAAAATAAAATTATGGTGCAATACAGTTGGTATTAATGAAAGGGTACAAATGAACAAAGTGCACACTCGCACTTTTTAGAGCTGTCTATCTATGGATATAAGTGGAGGGTCTTTAGAACTAAGATCAATACAACCCAAACAAATCTTGGGTACCAGTTATACACTACCACAAATCTCAAATATTGTGGTATTGGGTACTAAATCAGACTGTATCCAGTGAACCTTTTTGTTTTCATCACTCAAAAATAAGTATTGCAATTATACTTCTAAGAAAACACCCAATCAGACACCCCCCTACATTGGGTTACTCTCAAGTATCTTATATGAGGACATCTCAAAAGTTTGGGTACATACCTAAAAAATAAAGGTCAACAGAGTTGGAGTATTGTTGCAGAGAATATCTGGATTAGAGACTGTGCACAAACTCAGGACCCATCAACATTTTGATCTTACGGTCTTTGTTAATCAAAACTGCAGGACCCAAAGCACTATGACTGGCACAGAATTAACACTACCTTGTCTCAAGACAAACCATCAAGGTAGTAAAGTATGGTAGTGCCAGTATTATGCTATAATTTATTTCATCAGTGGGAACTGGAATTATTTTATGTTTGTGAATTTGAAGAAAGATGCATCACACACAATACAGGGAAATACTTAAAGTGAACCTGTTTCGGTAAACTAATAACTAAGGTTTGAAAAGAAAGTTACCATTGAGTAGGACAGTGATTCTAAACACAACACCAAAGCAACATTGGATTGTGAAGAAGCACAATGCTATACATTAGTTCAGTAAAACTCCTCTTCACAATCTCTATTTGAAAAGTATCATCCACAATTGACATTGAATGAACTCAAACAACTTGGATCAAACCTGTCAAAAATATGGGACAAAATGCCTCCCAAACGAGAATGTTTTAGAATTATTAGAATATGTGAGGGATAGATTTGAGTATAGTAAGTTGCTGGCTGCTGTCAGTCAGCTTGGTATGTGTTCACGCCAGGCCGACTTGCCCCTTTTCATGGGGAGCCACCCCCTTTCCAGACAGGCCAAATCATTCTGGTCATCACCAGTGATGTCGGGAGATATGAATTGTTGTGTTGCATTTGTTCCTTTCTGTTTATTTCTCTCTTTTTTTCCCCATGTGTGTATTTCTAATATGCCTTCCTGCTTCTTTCCACCAATCTGTGTATCTAGGAGTGCTGTGGTTGAGGCACATGGGCATAGAGATTTGCTCAGGGTTTCATGACTACTAGCAGAAAGTGCCAATACATCAGAATACATCATTTCATTCCCCTATATGACCAGGAGATCAGTATTTACATAGTATATGTCATTTGTGTTGTGTCATAAAATAAGGGATATTGGCAATTTTAAAACAAATTAAACAAGCTTATTTGTAGCTAATCTTCACTTCAATTGGCAACATTATTAGTAAAGAAAAAAAAATGGATTTGAGTTAAGATGCCCATACCTCTACTTTCAACAATAGAAAATATTATATATCAAGGTATCTTCAGTTTAAAAAATCTTCCATGCATTGCATCCACAATCTTCAAAATGAAGTTGAAAGGCAGTTAAAAAAAATAATTAAAAACTTTAATACAGAGCATTTTAAATTTGTAAATTAATTCTCAGTGAACAAAACTAAACAAAATTATGGCTGGAAATAATATAAGAAAAAACACAAAGTATGTTAAAAGCCCCTTTATGAACTTCAGAATCTATATACGTTTACAACCCATTCTTATGGTGTACTATGTCTCAATTAAATGACAGTATCATTAAAGTTACAAGGATTTAAAGTGAGACTACGGCAGTATGAGGGTTTATATACAGCATTACAGAATAATGCATATGTCAGAGGAAACAAATTATGGCTTTGGCTCTTCAGAATTCATGAAAATAACTGAAAAGGCAGAATTCCCAAGAACTTTCTTTTTATAAGCAATACATTCTTAAGGTATCTACAGACTACCAATACAGTAGTTAAACACAATGTGAACACAATAAATGGAAACGCCAATAATATGTTCATGTTCATTCACCTTCTAATCATTATGTGTATTAATGTAATTATTGCTCAAGTCATCATATAAAGTATGAAATAATTTTTTTCTAAATACATAAAATGAAAATGGCTTATTATTCTTCTTATTGTAATTAGAACATTTCAAACGTGTGCTGAATTTCATTTATTTTTTTAATTCAAAATTCTAAACTCACATGTAACTGCTATTTTACCTAAACTCTAGTTTCCTAATACATTTTTATAGTACATTATGGCCACATGTAGTTGACACAAAAATAAATTCTGCATCATTGGCATGACCTTTTATATGAGCATGGTCAGCAGATGAGGACAGAATGATATCTGGATCTTAAATGGTAACACATGGGAATACATTTATCACTTTACAAGAATACATCTATGACTGGGTTACACACATTTCCTTGGTTGCCATTGGTTATTTTTTAAGTAGTATAGTGCAAATTATATGCAATGCACTTTTAAAAGGATACGTTTGTGCAGCTTGTGTTTATAGCTTTTTATGAATATGGGTGAACTTGCAGATCATACAACATCTTACCTGGTAATGTTCATGGGTATATATGAAATTTAGTCACTAAATGTTGAAGCTATAATTCAAAACATCTGTGTGTTTATTGCATTAGGAAACAAAACCATTAAAGCATTAAGACAGCCCTTTTGTGTCCCTGCTAAGAAGGTTTAATTGTTCCGCAAGTCACGTCACACTGCTGGCCTTGTATTGCTTGCAGAACGCATCTTCTTGCAGATAGTTCCCATTAAATAATCATTGAGAAAAAAATGTTCTTCTAGGCATGCGCATGCATGGTTATTATTGTTCACAGTGCTGTGGTGAAAGTCCTACTCCATGCCACTTCGTAAAATCTGATTGGCTGCAATCAACATGACACTTATAATAAAGGCCATTGCAAACGCACATATAAGGCTCTTCCGTACACACGTTTGCCTGTTCTGCTTCTGCGAATGAACTGAAAAAAATTAAGATAGTACAGGTTAGAGAGCATAAATCACATTAATAATGCTTCATAATTCTATTCCAGACAAGTGATACAGTATAAAATGCGTGCTTTTCAAATAATTCAGTATAAAAATTCATGTTAATTGTATGGAGTCCTGTGCTATTTTGTAGCAAATTGGAAATAGCTTCAAATTGAGTTTATCACCTACTATTGGATCAACATTTGTTATATACATATCAATACTACATTGAAAAAGAGCACTTAATGGTCTCCCCATAAATCTCAGTTTAATCCAAAAATTTGTTTAGTTTACAGCTTCAACATTTCAGTTCCAAACTGCTTATTTTTCTAGGTAATATATATAATATCATGTATTTTGCAGTACTATATATAGTGTATATATACAAATATTATATATATATATATATATATATTTTTTAAACACTGATGCATTTTCCCACCATATGGTCAACAGATCAAGTGAGAAACAGTAACCAATAGAGGAAAAAAGCAGAGGAGCAGCAAAAAACTATAGATTGTTATAAATTTTTATGAAATATATAATATATGAATACATATTTTTTTCCTTTTTTTTACTGCTCCTTCTGTTTCTCTATTGATCGTTTCTCCATTGATTTGTGAATGAAATCAATATTTAGTGCCAGTCCTTTAGCCATCAATCTTTTTGTCCACCATTCATTTCTTTTTTTGGTGCCATGGGCAGAACTCGGAATTACAACGAGCATGTTTGTTCATTGCGCAAGTCATTTGTTTTCTGATTAGCTTATATATACCATTTTGGAATTTAGGAATTCTGACAATCCAACTAGATTTAGACCATCTAAGTCTAATGTAAATATTCTTCTTTTTAAAACAATTGTCTAATGTCTTATTTATACACTTGAGAGATACATCAATTAGACTTGTATGTGTCTCATTGTTATGTCACAATTTGTAGATCACAGTTTATTGGTTTAAATTTGAGTATAGAAAATAATCCAGGCACTCCAAGGAATTCCAAACAAGGCAGTTTTATTGGAACCACAGAACAGAAAGCATAAAACTGCCTTGTTTGGAATTCGTTGGAGTGCCTGGATTATTTTCTATACTCAAATTCTACATTTGGTTCTTTGTGATACTGGGACTTGTTCAGCATAGCTCCCAGAATTCCAGGAATTCACCTATAAATTTATTGGTTTAAGTCAAGGTTTGTGAAACACATTACCTTGTATTTAATCTCAAAAGTATGAAATTTTTATGGAAACAGATTCTCTAAGACTGAGATCTTAAAAGAATTCTGTCTGTGCAGTAACCAGTTATCTCAGAGGCTCCAGTAACCATTTTTAAATAATGATGTATTTAAAAAGCATGTACTCTGTGTATTGTCTACTTTACTCTCAGTTGGAACATCCAAGTGGGAACTATTTTCTAAGCCACTAGTGAAGACTAAACCTATAGTTATGCAGTGTTCATATTGCTCTGGGCCTTCACATTAAGTTCACTGTGTGATGACCATTCCAGATCATTTATGGCATCCTAGGTTTGACATTGGCTTTGTTTAATAAATTCTTCTCACTTTCAACTTGCCCTTGAGCATTTTCATTTGTGTCCTACAATCCACTTAATTGTCAAAAGCCCAATGAATGTTTTTCCTTTGGATTTTTTTTATTTCTCAGAAAATCAACAAACCATCTCAATTTGGATGGTTTAAACTAATCAGATTAAACTCCAAGATGTTTTCCTACATCTGCTTACCTTGGTTATTATGCTTAATCTGTTTCCAAGTGTTCTGGTCACTGATTATCAACCTGTAAGACTGTAGTAACACCTCTGTTTTTCATATTGTAGCATTGATTTTTTTCCCCACTACTGTTACCAACACTCCATTGATCTGTTGATAACTTCTAGAAAAACTGATCTTGAAACAACTTGACGCATTTATTTCCTTAGCTAAACTATGTACTTATTATGGGTGCTCTTTGCATCCAGTACAATCCAAGATTTTGCTCAGGATAATGTGGATTTCATGTAAAATATTCTCGGTTCTTCTCTGATTCCTAGCATACACCCTTAAAACTTGAATATTATTTTACACCAGTCATCAACCAAATCCTACTATCGTTTTCATAAAGAAGTCAGTTTACAAAAATGAAAAAATGTTTTCCATGATAATTACAGACAAGATAACTAGTTTTAGCACATGAAGAACACTAATTACAGATTATATTAACAGTATTAGGAAACTGGAAAGAGAAATGTTTTACTGATAAAAAATGCACAGACACACAAAATATCAACTGTTTAGCAGCAGTATGTGACCACAGAACTCACGAGGAAACAATTTTTGCAATAGTTAGCAAATACTGGCACATAATGAAATAATCATCAAGTGAAAGGACTCGAAAAAGAGGTGGAATATTTATTTGTTGAGAAAACATGATCCATGACCTCTCCTGCTTGAATTGTATTTCAAGTAGTGCAATTATAAAATGTTATATTTAAATGTTTATATATAAATGTACTGTCAGGACCAATTTTCTAGAAAAGTACATCTTCCCTGCACTCCTTGGATATGACACACAGACCTGGATTCTACTATCAGAGACAATCTTGTCTCAAAATAGCAATTCTCCCATTAGTATGAGAGACAAATGCACTCAATTACAGAGATAAAGTCCTGTCTGCAATACAATAAAATCTATAATATCTCTGAAGTTTGTTTCAGATTCTTGAACATGTGCCAAAGTAAAGAGAGAAGAGAAGAGAACACACTGGATAGATTATACCAATAAGATTTTTATTTGATAAGAGTAATGAAACAAGATATCCTAATATAACATATCTCTCTCTCTCTCTCCAAAGAGAGAGAGATATATGTTACATGGTTTGATAGATAGATATCAGATAGCTAGATAGATATGTAGGACGTTAGATAATCGCACTTGACCCAGACTCTATTGGCCCAGACATGGACAATCTCTGGCCACTCTTTTGCAATGCAAAAAAGGCTAATATATCTTGTAAGAAAAAGTAAGGGTCTTTTTATTTTATTTTGGTTGTTTTTACCTGCTGCAAGATATAAAAATACACACACACACATATATATAAACTGTACTCTCCTAGGCAACATAGGTAAGTAAGGTGCTGGATCCTAGATAACCCAAACTAAATCAAATTTAAAAACTAAAAACAGGTAAGGATCTGCACACAAACATTAAGAGAATGAATGCTAGTTTTTAATTGAAAAGAGTTTCAAATAGAAAGTATTTTTTGAAACTATTTTCAATTAAAAACTAGCATTCATTCTATTGATGTTTGTGTGCGAATCCTTACATGTTTTAGTTTTTTGCAACAGGATATAAGAAATGCAGTGAGAGCCTAATTAGGTCCATTTGTGATAAAAAGAGTATTAAAATATACTACAACAAATCTTTTTATACTATCTGCAAATTCTATAATAACGATCCCTACTATATAGTTATATTTTGTATGCATACTTTGATATTTTTATCTTTTTTGCCATCTTGCATTTTACTTTTTACTTTCTATTAATTTGCGTGCAAGGCTTAAAAATACATCAACTATGAAATGTACATTAAGGTCATTTTTATCACTTGGAAAATAGCTTCATTTCCACACAATAATCTGATTACAGAAGACTTCTCAAGCACTTCTACCACAACTGGAAGTTACAAGACATGGTCCATCCATCTTAATAAAGCTGTGTCGTTTTACTGACATAGAGTCTTCCATCACTTACTATCTTACATCTTATTTAAAGATTCTATTAAATCTTAGAAAAGGAAATGTAAAATACATTAACCCCAAATCTTCTGAAAATAATAATAGAATTGTTAAATGAAAGCAGAATTCACTGTGAAAATGTAGTTAACTCTCATCATCTGATAAGTTAAATATTGTTGAAATAATGTAACCCCTTCATGATCGATCCTTTTCCCAAATGCTGTCATTTTGTAACAGAAGCCTTCTTTTTGGTATTTTTGCTGATTTTCCACCATAGCAAATGTCCTTTAAGTGTACCTATGAATAATATATTGTGGTGTTTTTTTTTTTTTTTACAAATAGGGCTTTCTTCTGATACTTAACATGCTATT